ATGCACTCATGTCATCCCCAACAGGGGGCTGTCCAACCTTTCCTTGAACACCCTCCTTGACGGGGCCTCAACCGCCTTCCCGGAAAGCCCATTCCACCTCCTAGGGGTCCTCACCAACAGGAAGTACTTCCTGACATCCCACCCGAGACCCAGTTCCTTGCGATTCGCCCCCCTGGACCACATCCTCTCCTCCGCTGCAGGGGGGAAGAGGTCGTGACGCTCTCCGTGTGGCACCCCTTCACACGCTTACGTGCCACTGCAAGATTCCCCCATGAGTCTCCTCTTCTCCCGGCTGAGAAGACCCAGCTCCCTCGGCCTCACCTCATCTGCCATCCCCAGGCCCACATCTGGCTCCCATCCTTGTGACCCTGCACTGAACTGGTTCCCATCAGGGGGTCCTCCTGGCTTGGCCTCCAGGACCTCCCTTCTGAGCGTCACCCACTGCTCCTGAACCCGCTTGCCTTCCACTGCCCTTTGCCAGGAGACTTCCCCCCGCCTGGCCCTCCCTTGGCCCACGAGGGCCCTCATGCAGCCGCCCCTCCAGCCCTGGACCTGCCGCCCATCCCTGTTCTCCTCATCTCCAAGCACAGGACGGAGAGGGCGCTCGCATCCAGAGCGCCCCTGGGCTGCACGCCTCCCCCAGGCCCCTCTGGGTCAACTCGAGGGGCCTCCTGGCCATGCCATCCTCTACAGCCTGCATCTTCTCCTTGAGGAGAGGCACCAGGCGCATCCTGCTCTTCGGCATCATTTTGAGCCCGGGCAAGTGTCCCAGGCTAAGAAAACCCTGCCTGGGAAAGCTCTTTCTTCCTCAGAGGGCTTCAGTCTACAGAAGGAAGGCTCTCAGTCTCAGCGAGGGTGGGTACTTTAAAGGTTACCCCTTCCTGAGGCTCTGCAGAATCAGAGGACATGCATTCTCAATGCAACAGTTTGCGTACTAAATTAAAAAAAAGCAATGCTTCCACCTGATGGATTTCAGTTGGGTTCGTGGAGGCTTCTGTGCAGCACCGTCACTTTAAAAAGAGACCAAGTAAACCTTCATTGGTTCTTTTGTTTTGGGCATGTTTGGGGGAAGGAAGGTGCCCTGCAGAACTTTTCCTATGGAGATTCCTGGATACTGTCCAAACACTACATTAAAACAAATTTAAAATTTCAATAACTTCTACAGGACCTGACTTAACCTGAGGAAAGAATTAAAAAGCACTAGTAAACTAATTACATGACCTACAGTAAAGTTCCCCGCAGATGTCACCCACACTGGGGAAATGTTCTCGCCCCTGCCCCCCCTCCCCTGCCCTTCCAATCGTCTTTCTTGTCCTTCCACAAGGCAACAACGTCCATGTCCAGGTGAGGCATCCAGAAAAGGACACAAAACGTCAAGGGCAGATACACCAAGGATTTGGCCAATGGGAGAAAGTTCATGGTTAGACTATTTTCTATTTTGTTATAACCAGCATGGAGTTTGCCATTCCCGGTGACCATGGACTGGGATAAAATCTTTACCATGGATGCTGCACGCAAGATCCCTTCATTGCTCATTGAACGCATTTGAAAGCTGTATCTCAGGGGTGAGTTCGTTGATGTTCAGTAAAGTCTCCCCTCCGACAGAAGCACTTTCTAAATTTCATTCATGTCTGTGGCCTCTCCCCAGGGTGCATTCTTTGATGAATGGTAAGATCCCCACTGAGGCTGAAGCTCTTGCCACGTTCCATGCATATTCATGGCTTTTCTTCAGTGTGTGTTTTTTGATGTTGGGAAAGATAGTTCCTGTTGCTGAAGCTCTTTCCACATTCCATGCATGTTTATGGCTTCTCCCCAGTGTGCATTCTTTGATGCATGGTAAGATGTGCACTTTGACTGTACCTCTTGCCACATTCCATGCACGTGTATGGCTTCTCTCCAGTGTGCATTTTTTGATGTCTGGTAAGATTCCCTCTGAACCTGAAGCTTTTGCCACATTCCATGCATGCGTATGGCTTCTCGCCAGAGTGCGTTCTTTCATGGACTGTAAGATGTTCACTTTGGCTGAAGTTCTTTCCACATTCCTTGCACATGTATGGCTTCTCTCCCGTGTGCCATCTTTGATGGATGGTAAGAGTACTATTACAACTGAAGCTCTTGCCACACTCCATACATGTGTATGGCTTCTCCCCAGAGTGCGTTCTGTGATGGATGGTAAGACTACTACTACAGCTGAAGCTCTTGCCACATTCCATGCATGCATATGGCTTCTCTCCAGAGTGTGTCCTGTGATGGACCGTAAGAGTACTACTACAGCTGAAGCTCTTGCCACATACAATGCACATGTATGGCTTCTCCCCAGAGTGCGTTCTTTGATGGACTGTAAGACTGAATCCCTGGGTGAAGCTCTTTCCACATTCCATGCATGTGTATGGCTTCTCCCCAGTGTGCATTCTTTGATGCATGGTAAGCTTCCCCCGTTGACTGAAGCTCTTGCCACATTCTATGCATGTGTATGGCTTCTCCCCAGTGTGCGTTTTTTGATGTTCGGTAAGATAGCTACTGCACCTAAAGCTCTTGCCACATTCCATACATATGTACGGCTTCTCCCCGGAGTGCGTTCTGTGATGGACGGTAAGATTGCTACTCTGGCTGAAGCTCTTGCCACATTCCATGCACGTATATGGCTTCTTCCCAGTGTGCGTTCTTCGATGGACTGCAAGATTTCCTCTGTCACTGAAGCTCTTGCCACATTCCATGCATGCATATGGTTTCTTCCCAGTGTGCGTTCTTCGATGGACTGCAAGATTTCCTCTGACACTGAAGCTCTTGCCACATTCCATGCACATGTATGGCTTCTCTGCAGAGTGCGTTCTTTGATGGATGGTAAGATTCCAAATCTTAGTGAAGTTCTTGCCACATTCCATGCATGTGTATGGCTTCTCCCCAGAGTGCGTTCTGTGATGGATAGTAAGAGCACTACCACAGCTGAAGTTCTTGCCACATTCCATGCATGTGTATGGCTTCTCTCCAGTGTGCGTTTTTTGATGTGTGGTAAGATCGCTACTGCACCTGAAGCTCTTGCCACATTCCATACATGCGTATGGCTTCTCCCCGGAGTGCGTTCTGTGATGGACAGTAAGATTGCTACTCTGGCTGAAGCTCTTGCCACATTCCAAGCATGTGTATGGCTTCTCCCCAGTGTGTGTTTTTTGATGGCTGATAAGATTTCCATTTTGACTGAAGCTCTTGCCACATTCCATGCATGTGTATGGCTTCTCCCCAGTGTGCATTCTTTGATGGAGTGTAAGAGATCCTTTGACACTGAAGCTCTTTCCACATTCCATGCATGTGTATGGCTTCTCCCCAGTGTGCGTTTTTTGATGGCGTGTAAGATTTCCTCTATTACTGAAGCTCTTGCCACATTCCATGCATGTGTATGGCTTCTCCCCAGTGTGCATTCTTTGATGCATGGTAAGCTGCCCCCGTTGACTGAAGCTCATTCCACATTCCATGCATGTGTAAGGCTTCTCCCCAGTGTGCATTCTTTGATGGAGTGTAAGAGATCCTTTGACACTGAAGCTCTTGCCACATTCGATGCATGTGTATGGCTTCTCCCCAGTGTGCATTCTTTGATGCATGGTAAGCTGCCCCAGTTGACTGAAGCTCGTTCCACATTCCATGCATGTGTATGGCTTCTCCCCAGTGTGCATTCTTTGATGGATTGTAAGAGATCCTCTGACACTGAAGCTCTTGCCACATTCCATGCATGTGTATGGCTTCTCCCCAGTGTGCGTTCTTTGATGGCGTGTAAGATTTCCTCTATTACTGAAGCTCTTGCCACATACCATGCATATGTATGGCTTCTCCCCAGTGTGCTTTCTTTGATGGAGTATAAGAGATCCTTTGACACTGAAGCTCTTGCCACATTCCATGCATGTGTATGGCTTCTCCCCAGTGTGCGTTTTTTGATGGCGTGTAAGATTTCCTCTATTACTGAAGGTCTTGCCACATTCCATGCATGTGTATGGCTTCTCCCCAGAGTGCGTTCTTTGATGGATTGTAAGATTTCCTCTGTCACTGAAGCTCTTGCCACACTCCATGCACGTGTATGGCTTCTCCCCAGAGTGCGTTCTGTGATGGATGTTAAGAGCACGACTGCAGCTGAACCTCTTGCCACATTCCATGCATATGTATGGCTTCTCTCCAGAGTGCGTTCTTTGATGCATGGTAAACTGCCCACTTTGACTGAAGCTCTTTCCACATTCCATGCATGCGTATGGCCTCTCCCCTGTGTGTGTTCTTTGATGAATGGTAAGCTGCCCACTACAGCTGAACCTCTTGCCACATTCCACGCATATGCATGGCTTCTCCCCAGAGTGTGTTCTTTGATGCATAGTAAGCTGCCCGCTTTGAGTGAAGCTCTTGCCACATTCCGTACATGAATATGGTGCATCTCCACTGTGGAATCCTTGATGTTTACTAAGACCTCCACTTTCATGGAGGCCCTTCCTGCATCCCATACACTTGTTTGGCTCCTCCCCTACATCCTTTCTTTGCTGCCCAGAATTATTTCCAGCACCACTGAAGCTCTTCCCACATTCTGTGCATTTAGACGGCTGCTCTCCACTCTGCACCCGGCCGCTTTTTCTAAGCGTCCCGACAGCACTTAAGATCAGCCTTCCTTCCATGACTTGATGTGGCTTCCTCCAAGTGCTGGATCAGTGATGCTCACTAAACCTCGGCTATCTCTGAGCCTCCTTCCACACTGCACGGGTTCAAAGGGCTTCTGCACACCGGGAGTTGATGAACTCTCGTCCCTAGTTCGATGCTCTTTCAGCGTTCTGCACATTCATTTGGCCTCATTCCTTGCTCTACTTAGGATCCAGACATTCTTCCATCATTCGGTTATCTGTCAAAAACAAGATTCTTTCCCCTTCCTCTTTCCGGGACTCAAAGGAATGAAGGGCGAGTGTTTGCAGGACATTGAGAAATATCAGATGTTTTCCTCTTGTTCTGTATTCGGTCGTCTTGTGTTCTTTTGATATCCTTTCATTTCGAATTCCCTCTTTTCTCACTTCATGCTCACTGGTTTCTGCTTATTTGATGCAGGGATCCATCTCAATTTCCTCTCCTACCATTCATCTGTTTGGGAGGAAAGAGAAAAGAAAAGCTTGGTAGTGGTGAAAGGCCGACACAGATGCGCTCAATCCAGTGCACAGCAACCCTGGCACCTGTCAGGCCAACATCTCAGCCGTCTCCCTGCCCACTGCGTACGCACTGCCAAAACCGCAATGACTCAAGGACAATCTTCCCAGAGTGACATCGCATACACTGAGGTTTGGATGGGCTCTGTACTGTCCCGGCAGCTCTAACATCTCCAATAAGAAAGGAAATCTCCTGTTTCAGGGTGTTGCACTGCCCAGAAAAGTGGAGATCGAAAGGCACCAGAGATGGTGGGTTGCCACAATCTTATTAAACGCTGATCAAATGCAGAGAGATATAGCATGAGCAAAGGCACGTGAGACTCACACAAGGAATTGCAGGGATCGTGCAAAGAAGCATCTGGGCCGCGAACTGTTCTCCTGCAGCAGCTCCTGGAGGGCAGAAACCGGAAACCGTCTGTCTCTGAGACACCAACACTCCCAGGCAGGAATGCGTGCAGCCCACCAGCAGATGCCTGCAGTGGAACATGGCGGAGCCTCCTGCAGGGGCGCAAAGGTGCCGGGGATCCCACAGGGATGATGGGCACGATGCGGGTCTGCTCGGGAGGAGGGTTTGCGAGCTCTTGAGGCACTTACAGTGTACGCAGGAGCGGCTCCCGTCACGCAGCGAGGCCCCAGCAGCCGCAACGGATGCACAGCGAAGTGAGCAGGTGCTTGCCGCAGACGCCTGCCTGGATGCAGGTGAGAGCTTTGCAGCTGCACAGGCTACGGCTCCTTCAGGGTCGGCTTAGGGCTGCATCCTGCCCTGCTCTGCCAATTGGCCGTGGTGGGTGGGAGCGAGATTAGCCTGTGCCACAGCCGGATTTGCCCGGCCCACGTCTGGAAGCAGGCTCGTTAGTGAGCCTTTTCAGTGCACAGGGGCTCCGTGTCTGTCCTTTATCTGACTTCCCTGCCAAATATCTAGAAGACAGACAGACAGACAGAAGGTGCAAGACCCTGAGGCAGAGACCCTGGGGCCTTCCTAGCCGTGCATTTTGGCACTGAGTCCGCTCCGTACCAGAAAGTAGCTCTGATACGGGGTCTCCCTGCTCTGAGCCCATCCCCGAAAACCCAACCCCACACACGGCTCCCTCACAAGCTCCCTGTATTAATGACCTCGAAGAGGAAGTGCAGGGAGCAATGACCACACCTGCAGAGGGCAGCAGAGGGGCCGGGGTGACTGGGAACGTGGGAGGCGGAAGGAGAGCCAAGGGGATCTGGAGGTGCTGGAGCCCCGGGCTGAAAACCGCAGGAAGAACTTCAATACGGAGCACGGCCCGGTTTCCCAAGTAACCTGGAAAAAGAAACCTAATGCGGAGGACCAAGTTGCGGAATACTAGGTCAATGATACCGCAAGTCAGAAGGATCTTGGAATTTTTCTGGAGTAGCTCCGGATTGGAAAAGGTCAGTTTATATTCCAATTCCAAAGAAGGGCAACGCCAAAATATGTTCCAACTACCGCGCCATTGCACCCATTTCACCTGCTAGCAAAGTTATGCTCAAAATCATGGGTCCTCCAAGCGGGGCCTGCGGGCCGGATCCGGTCCGCCATCCCCATTCATCCGGCTCACCTCAGCGGTTCTGGACTCACCGCGCACACGCCTGCCCTCCGTCGCCTGGCTCACCCTGCGCGTGCCCACCGCTGCCTGGCCCGAAAACAATCCCCGAGGGGCCAAGCCACTGCCTCGCCTGCCCGCCCCACCGCGCCCCACAACACATGCCCACCCCGTCTCTCCTTGCCCCCCCGCCCTGCCCTCGCCGGCCCGTGCGCCCCATCAGTGCCTTTCCATTGGCCCCGTTGATAAAGTTTGAGGAGCCCTGCTGGAAATCCTACAAGCCAGGCTGCAGCAGTAGGTGGACCAAGAACTACCAGAAGTACGGCAGGATCTCGAAGAGGCAGAGGAACAAGAGATCAACAAAGAGATGCCAACATACGCTGGATCATGGAGAAAGCTAGGGAGTTCCAGAAAAAGGTCTACTTCTGCTTCATTAACTATGCTCAAGCCTTTGATTGTGTGGATCACAACCAATTATGGCAAGTTCTTAAAGAGATTGGAGTACCTGACCATCTTATTTCTCTCCTGAGAATCCTATATGTGGGTCATGAAGCAACAGTTAGAACTGGGCACAGAACCACTGATTGGTTCACAAATGAGAAAGGAGTTTGGCAAGGCTGTATATACTCGCCCTGCCTATTTAACTTATATGCAGAGCACATCATGAGAAAGGCGGGGCTGGATGAATCACCGGTTGGATTAAGATTACAGGGAGAAAAATCAACAACCTCAGATATGCGGATGATACCACTCTAATGGCAGAAAGTGAAGAGGAACTAAAGAGCCTCTTGGTGCACGTGAAGGAGAAGAGCGCAAAAGTTCGCTTGAAACTCCATCCAATCCTTTTCTCTAAATATTTGCTTTTCTTTCAGTACCTTTCTCAAACTATCCCAAAAATTTCCTGGAAATCCTCTAATCTGTGTAACTGAGCTCATTGGTCAGAATATTGGCATAAATTCTTCCCTGTACTTCTCCCAAATTTTTCAAAAAGGGATTTTCTATTCTTTTAATCATCTTCTTATTGTCGCATTGAAAAAATGTTTTTAAAAGATTCCAAAAGGTCCTGTTGTTCCATCCTTGCCCTTAGTATTTCATCTGGCTTCCAAATGGTATTCGGCATAAATCTTCACTGGTTCGCTTCATAATATACTTTAATATTCTGAATACGTAGTCCGCTCCCTTTTTGTGAGTTATACCATCATTTCCTAGTCAACTTTGCTCTCTTATCTCCATTACAAAATTTATTAATCTGTGTTTTGCCACTCTTCTGACTCTTTGCCCACTATCCTTACTGACAACATCCCAAACAAGTTTACCTCAAGTAAAATCCCCCTTTTATGAAATGCTATTCTACCAAACCAAGACCACCAAAATTGCTAAACTGCTGCTTTTTCTCATTCATTTCGGATCTTAATAAATCAGAATTATTCTGATCAGACATAGGGTATTTTTTGAAATACTGATGTTGGCCAAATTTGAAACTTATCCTCAATTCCCTCCTTTTCTTCCCCATTGAAATTGAACAAGGGCATCTCAATTTTCTCTCAATTAACCTGCAACCACTTA